GCAAATATATTACGACTTGAATTACCCCCGCCGCGGTCTTCGCGGCGGCGGGCGCGGATGTCGCGGAGGCGAAGGGGGGCTCTGCGCTGGAGGTGGGTGGCGTCCGAGGGGGGCGGGGGCGGGGGCGGAGACCCCTTCTCGGCAATGAGTCTTCGCAGGAGACCGCCACCCATTACCGCCACTGCTCCGCAGCAAAGCCGTGCATGCAAATCCGGATGTGGAAATATAAACATCGGAGCGCTCGCTGAGTCGCCTGCAGGCCTGCTCCTTTGCCCTGCCACCCCGCCCCGTCCCTCCCCTCCGCGCCCCTCCCGTGGGATTTAGCGCTGACGGGCGCGAGAGACATGCAGGGCTGTATTTCGGCGGAGACAGTTTCACAGCGACGGCCGATAATGCTTCCGGGGATGAAAGGCTTTTACGTCGGGTCCGCAGGGTTCGGGACGAAAATTGTAGGGCGTTGCCAGATCTTGCCATGTCTGATTAAATCACATGATGTTGGAGAAGAGAAACAGTCCTTCTGGAGTGTTAATTTTGAATGAGGAACGTGTGTTTTAACGACAGTCAAGTTTGGTGATCGTAGTCTACTATTTTCTCTGCAGAAACTGAGTGTTAACACTGCAAATGTTTCATGTGGTCGCAATTGAAAAGTTCACTATAAAACATTCCTTTTCTTGAAAACAAATATTTAATTCGGGTGTATTATATATCCAGTTGTCTACCCGCTAACTGCACCAACCGCAATTTTCGTTGAACTCTATGAATTTTCGGAACTTGCAATTTTAGGAATATTGCGAAAAAGTATATGCTGTTGTTGCGCCACTCGTTTATAGAAACAAAAGAATAGAGCAAAATGGCATTATATCAACATATGCAGTGCATTTTACTCTATCCCTACAAAAAGTTAAACCAAAAATGTTCTGAACAAACTTGTGGTATTGCAAGTGTGACGTGATTTTTTTTTTTAATTTTGGGGGGTACTTTACATGAAGCTTCAAAACCATATTAATTTTTTTTCAAAAATTGCTCTAAATTTTTGGATTGGCTTTCATTTTATTTGAAAATCCTGATTTTTTGAAAAAAGTCATCTATTTTTGCGGCATCTTCCTATGACTACAATATTGAACGTAAGGATTCTTGAAGAAAATCTGTTCTTTTATTAATATATATTTTATTAAAGATAGATGTGAGATAAGGTCATGCACAATTTTTAAAAATGTGAGTAGTTTTCATGTAATTTTCCGTGAAAAGTAGGTAATTTTTAAACTTTTTTTTTCTAAAAACGGCTTCTAATTTTTCTTTAAATTTTGTCCTCTTAGGTATCAAGACATGGTAAAAAAAATATGCTAACTCATTTCTAGCAAACCATGAGTAATTTAGAAAATTACAATAAATTTACATTTCAAAACCACAATATTAAAGCTAGACATTTTTGCCTCTTTAAAAAAATGTACAATTTTATTAAAAAACAAATAGTTTTGTGTAATATCTGTATGAAAAAATGCAAATTATAAAAAGAACATTTCTTCAAAAAACTGCTCTAATTTTTTTCTTTATTTTTCCACGAATAGAACAATGTACACGTAAGAGAATCGTCGTAAGAGAGACGTACGACTCGTTTTTATTGATTTATCTTTATGGTGCAGGGCATTCATACTATGAAATCTATGTGTATAATTAAGGAACGGGCGTCCTACATCCAGAACAATGCGGACGCTGCAAGAGGACAGATGACAAGGGATTGGGGTAGGAGCATCGACAAGGTACTCGTAGTTTCGTCTCAAAATAAAGAGGAAATACGCAGTACGAATGTCTGTTCCATTTTTAGTACTATTATTTTTCTTTTTCAGAAATGAATTACAATCTCTTTACGGCTAGTTCTAATAGCCAAGTTTTGTGCATTCTAGTGGAAGTAGGAGTTCTACATCTCAGAAACCATTTAAAACGAATCGATTAAAAAATATGATAAAAAATATCCAATTTTTTGTAATATTAAATATTTTTTTCTTTTAATCATCCGTTTCTAAACTGATCATTCTTGCGGTTATGTTGGCAGTGGCTCTTTTGTTTACTCTCTGACAAAGCGGTGGCCAATCGCTGCGACACCTCCGTGCTCGGCCCGTCAACGCTCGCTCATTTCATGGCAGTGGTGAGGGGTGATTTGTGATTCGGACAGTATGAGCGGGTTGTGGAGAAGATGTTGGTGATTGTTCTAGAAGTGGCTTTAGTGCTCATAGTTTCCGAAACAAAGCGTGTGGCGAGTAATTATGTCTAAAGCGAATATCTAGGGTAATCGGAAGCAAATTAATATTTGTGGAAAGTGGGTGTGCATGAAGGAGGTTTCAATAGGAAATTTATTTATTTAACAAACCCTGTGAAGTGTCGCGTGAAAGGTTAAGTGAAGGTTAGTGTAGATATGTGCGAAGAGATTTTGCGAATTATTTGTTGGATAGAAATGGTAGTTTCTCAAATGCGAATTGCAGGTTTAACCAGTGTAGTGAGTGAAATGAAAGATGAATTGCAGAAATATTGCTTGCTGGGCGAGTGTTCAGGCTCAAAAATGAGCCGTTGCGATGCTAAGAAATGCGTGTGTAGGAAAAGTGCTTGTGAAACATCAGAAGTGTGGTAACGTACTTTTGTGCTTCGTAGCTGGACTTCTCATCACCGTGGCCTTGGTCTCCACGACGCCGTCTCTTCTCGTCGTTCCTAAATTTCCCTTGTTCCCGCCAGGTGGTTAGAAAACCGTTTAAAATCTGGAAACTTTAAAATCATGTTGTACTCGTTCAAAGGTGGAATAGTTATTAAGAAAAATTAAGAGATGAAGTTTAACTATTCATCATATTTGCAAATCGTTAATAAAACTGTAATGAATAAAATATATACGCTGATTAATAGGATTATTACTATTTGCTGATATCATTGAATAATTTACAAGCATTTAAAAAACATTATTCTAGTTAAAGCATTATTTTGAATTGGAAAACGTTCGGCAGTCCAATTTAAAAGCTAAAATTGAAATTTCCTAAGAATTACCTATCAGTGACAACAAGCATCCTTTTGCGAATTTTAAAATACGAACTGCTAATGTAGTAAATCAAAGAATTAATTCAACATGTCAGGATTCTAGAAAATCAATAAATGAATGTTTAATTTTTAGAACTTGCGTATTAAAGGTTTTAATAGTTTCGAATTATGATCTGGAAATACGGTGTACAGTTTGTGTACAATAAGCAGAAGGCTAGGAATACGATGTTCAGTTAGCGTAGGGTAGAGTAGTGTTCCAAAGTAACAGGGCAGTTAGCATAGCACCCCTGCCAGAAGTAGGAGCAACGTTTGCTGACGCCGAGTAGAGAGACTGAATCGCGTGACGATAGGTTCTGTCGTGGAGCTTTTTCCCGTGCCCCGTCCTATGCCCTTCGAACGTCCGAGCAACCCAAAGGCGAGGCCGTTTGCTTTCCTTTCTTCCGACTGCACGACGGATGACACAGGTCTAGCCACACACCACAAACAAACGTACTACGATGAAGAGAAATGAGTAAATATAAACATGAAATAAACGCGTAGTAAATATCATATATAAACTGTTTTCTTACATGCACACATTTGTAGATGGAGGGATAATTCTTCCTCGTGCAGTTTATTGGCCCGCTGCAGATAAATGTTAGATGGGGTATTTGTCCGCCTTTAGTTTAATATATTGCTGGGTTACTGCAGTCTTGTTTACTGAACTTCATTTTCATCGAAACGTAAGAATAAATTAAAAAGTAATAGCAGATTGGTTATGAAAGGTTACGTAGCCAATTTAATGAGTATTTAACTTAAATTTGTGTTAATATTGAATATTTATAATTTAAATTCCTTATTTAATATTTAATGTCACTGTTGCTTGAGTTTTATTTACATTTAAAATGATTAATTGAAGTGCTATACTAATGTTGCTTGGAATATAAAATGATCACCTAGTTCGTATTAGGATGGGCAAATGTAGGAAGGAGGCTGCAGAGCCCGGATAGTCTGTAAGAAGACGGTTTGCTTAGCCATATTATGGGATCCACTTCTGTGCCGGATTACCACTATTGCACTTGGCATGCATTCCGTCATAGAGAAATTGGGGACCTTGACTGGGTGGGAAACTTATTGAGCTGCGAGATGGCATTGCATCTCGCAATTTGCATTTGTGAATGGCAGGTGACCTCCCTCTGGACTGTAGGCTAGGTCGTCGTTCAGCGGGCGAGGCCACAATGCCCAACTGTTGGATTAGGAGGGACACGCCTACCAGGCTTACAGGGCAGGGTGGGTAGGTTAAGTGCTACGGATGTGTTCCAATTCGATTTTGTATTCCAACTTGCTTTCAATTATTTACGACGTTATTATTGCAATGTAAAAGATAAATCAAAATACATAATGAATTGGAATACGCCTCCTACCTTAAGGAAAACTGAAGGGCTGCCCATCCTTCAGTTACCCTTTAGTGGGAAACTTCTTTGTTGGCGGACAGCACACTTAAAACAGGGTGGCATTTTTTCGGAACTGCTGAAAAGCTTTTTGTATATTTTAATGAAATATAAACGAATTATTTTTTTCTTACAGGAACATAAGACCGCGTGAGACGTGGCAAAATAAAAATTATTAAGTCCATGTGTATACGTGGCAAAAATCACTACCTATTTATAGGCCTACCAAACAAATGGTCAATATATAACTGTACTAATATTGCTATTTTTTAAACCCGAATTCTTATTTTTCAGCACTAAATTTTTAATTTCAATTTCGGCATCATTGTATTTCTCAATTAGTGTAAAAGTTAACAAAATTAATAACTCTAAGAAATGTGAAAGAATTCTATAAAATAATACGAATTTTTCATCTGAATTATTTCCTTTACCCATGCACTGGCGAGTAATTTATCAATAAATGACCTACAGAGATAGTTTTTATCTCTGCAGAAGTATGTATTGATTTTGTGAAGAAGTTATGTCTGTACCAATGACTTTGCTGTTTCAGGTACTCTTCAATGTCATCGGCAGACGTAACAATCTTACAGGGCTAGTAAGAACGTAAGCCTACAGAGTTAGCTTATACTCAATTGTGAAAGAACTGCATTATTTCACGTTTCAGCTGTATGAAATGTGAAGAAATAAAGTTTGAAGTCTGTAGTATGTATAGTAACTGTTAATAACATTGATTAGCTAATTATTTAGATAGTTTTTTATGAAATCCCATTTCGATCATAGTGTTTAGTTTCTTTTATCGTTCAAGCGAATGCTCAGATGGACCTTTTTCTTCAGAAATGAATGTACAAGTATCTTAATTATGGGCGTTTTGTGGGATTTTTTCTAGCTCGTAATACAGGCGAGTGTGGGTTGCTTTGTTCGCAATACTACTAAATGAAATCTATAGACAGCAAATTTGTTTTTTACTCGGGAGCAAAAGTGTCAATTTTAAATGTTGCCAATAACGATATTTTGGTTCTTTTATTAATCATTTAACTTGATATAGTTAAGAGGGTGGGGTAGGGATTCTAGCGCTAGAGGAAACTTCTACAACTATATGAACTCGCTTATGTCAAACAATCAAAACCTGCCTTTGGAAATTCATACATTATTCTTGCGGCAATTCAAGAAAATATAATTCTTGAATCTTAAATTGAAATCTTAGGAAAATTAAGAAAATCCAGCCATAAATAATTATTTATTTAAAAAAATTGTGATTAAATTCAAAGTAATTTTTTTTCTTATTTGATTGCAGGTCCTGAGTGGTAGCCATTCACGATGGCGTAGATCGAGGGCGATAGTCCTGTCTGTTGTCTAGCTTCGCATTTAGCTATCGTCTCTATGTTCTCTGCGATCTCTATATTTCTCGATTCTCCATTGACATTTTTCAAACCCATTCTCACCCATTACTTCTCGCAATTAAGCCTTCCAGATCAACGGAAAAAACACTTTTATACCTTCTGTCGGGTAATACATTAAAAATTCGTCTTGGTTCTCTTCTGCATCCACTAGAATTGACGGTACCGATGAAGAACTAAACATTCTAGTCTTGAGTGGGATTTTGAATGAAATAGGTGTTGTCATTACCAACAATATAATTTACTATATAAGCAGCTTTTGATGGCTCAGCCATTTCCTGATACAAGATATATAAAACATTAGGATTAATTTATTACTGCTGGTACGTGGTCATATAATTTGTAACTTCATATAGTTTTCTTTTAAAAATAGCATAAACATATTAAGAAATGAAAGGAAAGGGGGCGGATCGTTCTGTTGTTCAATGTTACAGTAATTTTGTAAATCCATGTAAGAAAGAGAATGAAGTTGAATTGAACATGTATACTGATTCAGTTACAGGAAACGTGAAATGTAAGTTGAGCCGTTGCTTGTTTACCTGCTGTTCGCAAGCCACAAAACGACTGTTTAGTTCGGGTGGACAAGTGGTACTTAAAATCTAGGCGGTGAGGTGGAGGCGGAGGGTGAATGGCCTGCGTGCGGTGTGCGGTCTATGGCGCTGCCCCGGAAGAGGCCGGTGTAAGGGTGGTATCTAATAATAATTTTAGTAGGAGGAAGGGTAATGTTTTATTTTCATTCAGTAGTTTATCATTTAGATGAATATAAAGGTTTTCTATAGTTAATCTGTTAACCAGGCTCGTTAAAAATATTGAATCTGAAATAATACGTTTTATCAGGAATATTAACTTTCTGGTTTATTTTCAGGAAACCAACTTCATATTCGTTTAAACACACGGTTACATCGAAGTTGCTTAAAATCTCCACCATTCTGCACGTCGGAAAATAGAGAATGCGTGAAAAAGCAGTCGAAAATGGTTTCGTAGCATGGAATGTGGGAAAACTAAAGAAGTTAAACTGTACAGTATGTCCCACCAGCTGTGAGTCACTCCCATAGCTTCTAAACGGTTCCCCATATCGAAATGCAGTTTTCACTCAACAATGCAGAATCATGGGAGAAAGTAATATGCCGTAGAGATGTTGTTTTAAATATTTTTAGTTTTCGAGAAACTTAATCATCTTATATTTTTAATTCTAAAATTACTATTAAGAAATACTAACATATGATGCATCATTGAACCACTTTTAATGATATATCCATTGCTATAAAATGTGGTTTTCCATTTAAAAAATCAAAGATTAAAGTTCTTGAAAACAAAAAAATATTATAAACAATATATTATTAGCACATTACTTGTCCCATAATTCTGTTGAGCGAAAACGGCATTTAGAGATCATGAACCGTTTAGAAGATGAGGGTGACCCCACAGTTGGAGGGACTCTAGGTGTTGCACATCATACTACTTTTTTAATGGGTGTAACAGTGATAGTGGTATGATGTATTCATAGTGGGTAATGAAACGTATGATGGAATGCGTGTAAAAGTAGAACCAACATGAAGCTATGTATGTGTACTTACTGGTCCCTAATGTAAAAAAATACTCGGAACTTGTCCACATCTTGTTACACCGATGCTCGTAGCGGGTTTACAGGACACAGCACTCACAAAACGTTTATTCTCCAAAAACCACTAGGTAAAGGTCATCCTTTAAAACGCAATATATAAAAAGAAATTATAAGGAACTAGGAACAACAGATCTCTATTGAGCGGCCTTCTATAAAAGAAAAAATTAATTAATCTGGGTTTCAAACACTGCCCAGAGCTCTGCCAGATTCAAAAATGGCGTTGGTCTCATTTTCGTTACTTTAAATTTTCAAAATTAAAAAATACACATCATGCGAGATGTTGTACAGCTAGTTTCCATGTGCAGAGACATAAATTGTACAATGTTTTTAATTTAAAATAAATACACTTGTATATTATTAGCTATCTCCAGGGCATGATTTCTCCCGGAACGGTACCTCGAAAAACCTATTTAATTATATTATAAATAAATATTTCAATTAAATTTATAATTAATTTGGGGCGCGTTTTGGGACCTAAAATTTTATAAATAAAGCACTAGTTATCTCAGTTTATTGATGTATCAATCTACAAAACGATCTCTCGAAAAATATGTAAATAGTACGCCCCGGGGACCCCCTTCTTTTGAAATGTACGGGACCATTTACACTTTGGTATTGCTATGGTTAAGAGAAAGCTATCTTCTTCGGGCAAAAGGCAATCTAAAATTCGAATGTTCTGTGTTCATCCAAAAACCTGCAGTTCTTCCACATGGTCTATTCCTCTAGATACTTACAATTTTCCTTCAATTTACTCACGATGCAATTATTCGTATCACGATGCAATTATTAGCCACGTTATACGTAACTTGATACGGTGAGCAGAACGGTGTATAAACAAATATTATTGCACAACATTGGATCAGAACATAAGAGTTACCGTGACATTGCGTTAAAGACGTAACCGTAGTGTAGAATGCAAACGGTGACATGCAATTTCAAGCAGAAGTGGAAACTTCTGCTTGAAATTGCATTTCACCGTTTGCATTCTACACTACGGTTACGTCTTTAACGCAATGTCACGGTAACTACATCTTAAAATTGCAAGTCTCAGAAAATTGCTTGTCATTATGATTCGTAATTTCACTAGTCTCGAAAACGTTGCTTCTTGGACCTGCCGCTAGGAGGCGGGCAGTTCTCTCTTCGCGGTATCTGTATACCCCCAAGGCCACCTGGTGACGTGCGCAGGAGGTGTGGAGATATAAAAGAAGTCGCATCTCGCAACCACAACAGCTCTTTCCAAGCAGCAAGACTACGTAATGGAGCGTTGGCGCGGACGTGTCGCCGTGGTGACGGGTGCAAGCGCGGGAATCGGCGCTGCCATCGCCTACCAGTTGCAAGACGCCGGCGTCAATGTGGTAGCCCTTGCAAGAAGGAAGGAGAAAATCCAGGTTGGTGCCGACACTTGATTTATAGATTAAAATTCAATACTAGAGAGTTCCTGGAGTTTGTGCATTACAAAATAGGTTCTCTTAATGCATGTAAAAGGAATATATAATCATAAAAATATTATTAATATTGAAAATTAGGGGGAGGATTTGTTATAAAATAATTTGACGTTGTCATTGCCAACAATATTATTTAATGCAAGAGCAGCTTTCGATGGCTTAGCCATCATCATCAGTTGTCTGCTGGAGGATTTGTTTCCTAAAAAAATCTTGAATGCTATTAAAAATATGCATTTGACATAAAAATTTTGAAATGTGCATATTAATATACTATTAAAGTTAAGAATATTTCGTTTCCTGTATAAACCTTTTCTGATAAAATTCATAAGAAGCCTGCTTGGAATGAAGAGATTTTTGTGCAAACAAAATTTAATGTACTTTACTTCGCAGAGAAATAATTGAACTAAATATTCACCTTATTGAAGAACATTGTATATATTGTGTGCGTTTCTTCTGCCTGGTTTAAAAATATATCAAGTATTATCATATATTTGCAGGAGTATTTTATCAGAAGGGATAAAAAATGCTGTGTCAAGCTCTTTAATCAATGAACGCTCACAAAAAATGTACATTCTAGATTCTAGAAAAGATGAAACGTTTTGGAGATAAAAGCCTTAGTATCTGTTTTAACGAAATAAGCAAAATATGGGCATTTAATTACACGAATATGCACCAAAAGGAAAAATCGGCCACATATTCATTAATCCACATTAATCTACCATCATCCAATTCTAATCAAAGAGCATTAAATTTGTTACCTATGGCCTGAAGCAACAGAAGAAAAGAAGCAAAATCATAAAAATCCGCTTAATGATAAGTTTTATTTAATATAATAGGTGTATATAAATATATATATATATATAAAATATAATATATATATATATATATATATATATATATATATAAATATAAGAGTATACTTGGAGTATTCCATTATTGAATATATGTAACATATAAATATAATATAATAACTCTAATATCATTAATAATATATATAGATAATTATAATATAGTGCCATAAGTAAAATTAATAATAATATATAATATATAATATATATATATAAAATATATATATAATATATATATATATATATATATAAAATATAATATATATATACTATATATATATATAAAATATAATATATATATATATATATAAAATACTTTTTTACTATGTTGCTAGCCCGAAGGCTTTTTAGCAATTACTCTACATATTCGCTCAGCTTCTAACCTATCGAATTCTGACATTTACCCCAATTGGTCTCTCCAGCGAATCAAAGCCGCGTAAAAGAGATCATAGGGATCGGCTGAGGAAACAAACTCTTGAATGGGGTGGGGGACCTGCCGTCAGAAGACAGAGGACAAACTAATTTACCAAACTATTTCTACACTGTTCACTGGCGTGGACGTCCTCGCCTTCCAGTCTTTAGTCTCCTCAGCCCCGAAATCAAACAGCCCTACAGACGAACGCCCGCACCATCGCCTTTGCGCTTACTTTACGGGAAAAAACCTAAAGTGCTACTTTAATTATTCGATGTTATACTTAGTTTCGTGATTGACTTATTTACTCATTTTACTAAATTAATTACTGATTAATTTCATTATTGCTTACTTATTGATTTATTTAATTTCCATTATAGTATCCACTTCTACTAACGAGTGCTGTTTTCTCATTCCCTGATTACCGTTTTTCTATTACTCGTACTTCGAACCTTTACTAGAAATGTTCCTAATTCTTTCAGGAATTGTGACCTATTATCACCTTATGTTATGTGCGAGCGTTATGTTTCTAAGTTGAAAGTAATAGTGCCCAATTTCAATAAATTTTCATCTCCATATTTCTGTAGCACGGCAATTTAAAAGGGTGTGGATCCAATCTTCCCTGTCACAGCAAAGTGCAGAGATGCTATTTCTAATTTCAATAGACTTTGCGTCCACTCCCGACCCTGAACAAAGTGTATACCCTCCTTGCGTCTCTTTAAGTGTGCGAACATAAGTTTTGCATTCCCACACTGGACTCGTGTGAATTTGCGCCGCTAACGAACATTTTTTTTTGCCGATGCAGCCAAAATATCTTGCCTATTAATATCAGTAAGTGTATCAGAAGTCTATCTCACCCTGTTCCCATATCACCAACCATCTTCAGAGAAAGGTCTCTCAGACCTGCGCGTTGTAGTAACTGTTTAACTCTGTAAGACCAGCAGAGCTGATCGCTTACTGTAATTGCACTCCAGAACACCGATGTGTAAGCGTGTGTCTGTTCACCTGCTAATCTAATACAAAGTTTAATATATTTCATTTTAAAATCTTTCCAAATTCCTACACTGCCTACCTCACGACATTTGCTGCGAATCTAGAGATTCAGACTAATTTGTTACCCTCTGGGTGAAATACCTTGAGAGGGAAACCCAAGAAGTCGAAGGTCAGCACTGGATCGCACGTTGGAGCGGAAAAGTAACGCAACCACCCTCCCGGAATGCAGTACGCTCCACATTTAGAGAACTATCGAGCTAAGTAGTTCATGCGTCCCAAATCAATATGTTCTATCCAACTCTCACCCAACGATTATGACGCAAATCCATTGTCATCTGAATATACGCGGGTGTGAAAGCGAATCGAGCGACGTGATTCCGCGGCGCGATTGATTGATTGGAAGAGATTCCGCGGCGCGGTTGACTGAGCGATTCGGCGACGCGGTTGATTGATTGATTGAGCGACGCGATTCGGCGACGCGGTTGATTGATTGATTGAGTGACGCGATTCGGCGGCGCGGTTGATTGATTGATTGAGCGACGCGATTCGGCAGCGCGGTTGATTGATTGATTGAGCGACGTGATTCGGCAGCGCGGTTGATTGATTGATTGAACGACGTGATACGGCCGCGCGGTTGAGCGAAGTGATTCTAACGCGCATTGGTTTTCCCGCAGAGCGCGGTCGAGGAGGCGAGGCAGGAAGCTCGTAAGCGCGGGCGCGTGTCCCTGGGCAAAGCGCCCTCCCCGGGCGAGCTGCACACGCTCAAGTGCGACGTCAGCAACGAGGACGACGTCCTCGCCGCCTTCAAGTGGGTCAAGGACAACCTCAAGACGGTGCACATTCTAGTCAACAACGCTGGGATTGGCGGCAGAACAAAGCTGGATGGTAAGTCCCCACTAACACTTTATCCTCTATTATGAACAATGAAGTGGTAATAAAGTGCATTTTCGCATTTTGTACAAAAGTTTTTGTTAATGTATTGTTGTAAGAATCAAGGTTAAAAAGTCCCGATTTTCTGAGTCAAGATTCTTTAGTAATTTAAGCAACAGAGGTAAATGAATTTACAAATATAAAACGAAGTAATGTTACAAGCTAAAAATCAAATAAGGTCACGGATCATTTTGGTGACTGTCAGTTTGTTCCAATCTCTTTGTGGTATCGGCCAAAACCATCCAGCTGTTGTGACATAGTCAGACCAATCGATAATTAAAATTTTAAACGAACTGGTAGACGGGCAGTGCAACGAACGTAGATGGAAAGCCGAAAATCAGTTTTGGGGCATCAAGGACCCAAAAAACGCGTATTTCGAGATCACTTTATACTCTAAAAAGTAATTTACTACATACAGGAGTAATCAAAATCCATTTTTGTAAGTTTTGTATGGACCATCAGGTCGACTAGGTATTGTATCGAAAATTTGCGATTTTTCCTTATATATATCCCGAGTATATAATACATCGCAGTATACGAAAAAGTAAAAATAGAATATGAAATTAGGGGGAAAGGTCATATTAATTAAATGAAAATTTAATTTTACTTCAAATACGATTTGCTTATAAGTAAATAATATTTACTGCAAAAATTTCTCTATTTGACGGTCATGAGGTCTACGCTCATATGATAACTTTGACCTTCGCTAACCTTGATGATAACGCTGCACCTTCAGTCGTGGTGAAAGTTGACACACGTGTCGATATTGTCAAAGCCCGTTGGCAGTCTATTCCCTGAAAATCGTCAACCTGCGAAACACTAATGCAGGATGAGATGCTATTAGTCGTGGGAGCTGTGTAAAAACTGAGATGAGTAACATCCTCAATTATTTCCCTCCACGTATTAATTGAAAAGTGATAATCTTCAACCTCTCTACATATATTAGAAGATTTTATCATTATAAACCACGTGTATAAATGTTCATATTAAAAATACATTTGTATTACTTGATTACGTTGAAAACGCGCGAGCAACGATAAAAATGATCTTCCAAGATTTTGGTTGCACGATTTAGAATAAACGATAAACTTCAGAGACCACCATAGTTTTAAATCTTTAAACCGTTTTTGTTGCAGAAACAAATACTGCTGAATGGAAAGGTATCTTCAACACAAATGTAATGGGCCTCAGTATTGGCACGAGGGAGGCTGTTCAGCTCATGAAAGCAACTGGAGTGGAGGACGGACATATCATTCACATCGGCAGGTACGGTGTCAGGCTCGCAAGCAAACGCAAGAGCTCATCTATGTCATTGGAAATATTAAATAAAAATGTTGCCTTTTAAAAATTTAATCAAAATAATAATAAAACCTGCTCGAATATTGGTATACATTTTGAATTAGGCTATGGAGTTGCCTAACCAAATTAAGCGTGTTCACTGAAAACAATCCTTTAGAGTTAAAATTAATTTAAAATATGACGCATTGATATTATCGTTGACTGTGTCAAGCAGTGTAATCATTCTACGAAACTTTTATACGCCGCTTCCCTTAATGTATACTCATGTTTGCTTCTTTGCATTGCCAGGCCATTCAAGAGATTTCCTTAAACCGAAAACACAATATTAAGAACTAGCAGATGTTACTTTGGTTGGCGGTTTTGCACGAAATATCTAGATATCTCTTTTAAAGTTCGAAAAAATATTTATCTTTTCGAGTAGCATTGCGCGCAAACAACTGAATTTCCTCCTTTCTAAATAAATTATAATACTTTTCGACAATATAATATCTGCAGTGTGTAGAAAATCAAAAAGTAACTAACAACAAAACAAAACAAAACAAAACATTGGTACACAAATATTTTCACTTTGTGATATCTTTTCACTGGAATTGATTTTCCGAATATGATCATACTTCTCCTTGTCAATAGGATGAATTAACTTCTGCACTTTCCAAACGTGGTCGTTGTACACTAAACAACAGTTTTTAATGGATTAATTCTGTTAATTTGCTAGGTTTATTTTTCCTTGCTGGATCATTAATAAAAAAAGCTATTATCAATGGACACTTTGGATCAAGCAACATAGTTTGTGGGAAAATCAGATTTTTATTACCATTGAAACAAAAACAAAATGATACATGGGTTATTCTTACAAATATTACAGTTACTATACATACAGTATTACAAAACGCGCATGCTTTCCGCTGGATGGCGTTGGGCTATAATTACATGTGACAATGCATTCTGGTTTACTCCAACTCAAGATGGGATACTATTTCTGAGAGTTTGGATAGAGTAAAATGTACGAAGTGGAATGTTGCTATCTCCACGTTATAAACAGCAGTCGCCAACGTGCAATGACAGCCTTCTCAGCTTTAGAAAAGGTCATCGTCGAAAGTACGCGAACATACTGCAACCTCCCGAACACAACGTAACCCCGTACGCAAACTTCCGATTTCTCATTAAACTTTTACATTTTCATAAGAAAATTCCATGAAATTTCCTTTTGCCAGTTAACAATATTACCATTAACATTCATGAAATAGTGTGGTGACTATCAAGGAATTAAGCAAGGGTAGTTTGCAATACGTTGCCACATCAATTAATGAAAAGTCTCGCATTAATTATACATGCTAATTAAATCCAATTTTTAAAACTATTTTTTTGAAATTATCTAGAGAACTTCCACTATTTAAAGGAATACTACGTAGTATAGTATCTTAGTTATCAACAGCTCATAAGATGACTTTTGCGTGTACTGATTTGAAAATTCAAATTATTTTGACATATTTGTAAGATAAATATGACTATTGTTTTTTGGTTTCAAAAACAAAATAAAAATGAAATGGAATAGCATTTTATTGAAAATAACATTTAGACAGTTGAGATATTGTAATTTTTCATAATTTTTGGATTTTTGTCGTTGCAGTTGGGCGGGGCACAACCTCCTCAATTTCCCGGGAATTTCCATGTATTCAGCGTCGAAGCACGCTGTCCGTGTTCTGACTGAAGGGCTTCGCAAGGAACTAGTGGCCGCAAAGAGCAAAATCCGCATTACGGTAGGTACATTTTCTTCTTATTCAACCTGAATTACATATTAAGCATGTTTCATTCTCAATAATATTGTGGTGATATTTCTAATGTGAAATAATATTGTGGTGATTTTGGATAACGGTGTAACATATTATATTTCTTCCCCATAGTGATAAGTTATTGAACACAAACTACTAAAAACAGTTTGGCTGCACGGTCTGTTGGTTTCAATAAACGGTTTTGAGGTAAATGTCGTAAGTAAAAATAGCTAAGTATACCACTGTGAGTTTCCCAATGATTCTCACAATGTTGGCTCGGAACCACGGCTTCCTATTTTTACAAATTTTGCAACATAAGTTTTGTGTTTTCAATCTTCTTGCCCAATACTATATGGGCCAGAACATAAGGGCCTTGATTACTGAATAGGTCATACTAATGAAGTGAATCTTAACGTTTCGGCGATTCCACATACTTTTTAGTGCTCTAACAACAAAATGAAATTCTCTCACGCCCTTTTACGTTTTAAGATACTTGGCCTACCCATCCCTATTGCTCGTTGAAGGATGCTCATCATGAAATCGAATTGCTCATCATATATCCCATTCATTGTTCTACAGGAGGTCAGCCCTGGTGCGGTGAAGACTGACTTCTCAAAAGACAGACCACCCAGCAAAGAAGTTCTCGCGAGTTTGGGAATTTCTAAAGCCGAAGACATGTGGAAGGTTTTGCCACATCTGCAATCGGAAGATGTAGCAGATGCAGTTCTCTATGCCATTGCGACCCCTTCTCATGTACAGGTAATAATTAGTTTTACTATAGTTAGTTCCTTTTCTTCGGTCTCGTTTTTATTGTTAAAACGTATTACGTGAATATCATTTGGTATGCGCATCTGTGTTGCAGATTCACCAGATACTTCTGAAGCCAGTGGGAGAAAATTTCTAAAATGGTTATTTCGGCTAATGTAATATTTCGTTCCTGTTGCCAATATTTTTATTTATTAAATCAATAAATCTGGATGTAAATATATTTTGCTCTATTTATCTTGACGAATATCTTCTAACAGAAATATTGAAATTTAAGGGTTATTAAGATAAATTATCATTTATTGTCATAAATTCTTATCTAAATTCATTAATCTTCATAATACTTATTTCAATATTTCTAATACTAAGTTAAAATCTCAAAATCATAATGGTGAGAAGTATTATGTACAAAGTGAATACTTTAAGAAGATAAAAGCATGCCGAAGAACATTTTAACAAACATTTTCCCAATATTTCAGATAGATAATTCTGATCTATAAGTTTCGCTAGAACTTGTGCCTCTTTGTTTTTTCAGATTTATAGACTAAATAATAAATATAATAATAAACTGACAACTTACACAATTAATATATTTTTATATACGCTTCGCTTTCATGTCACTATGCTCATTATCTCGGCATATGTGGCCAGCTGCAAGTTTCCAAATCCTTTTATTTATATTGTGGGAAGGAAATCTTATTTTAAACGGAGTCGCCATGAAATTATTGAAAAAACGACATGCATAATTTTGGTAAACTTGTGTAAGAAAAAAATTATATTCTGCAAAAAAGTTAAGTTGTTTCTTAGTGTTGAAATTTCTATTCTGAAGAAAATTCTTGTTCCCACGAAAATGTTAATAGCTCTTATAATGTATTCCTCATTTCTCACACAGAATTTTAGAATGAAAATTGGCTCCTTATACTGTTTGATTTATGACGGCTATGTTTTTCTACTAAATCTAAATGCCGTTAATTTTAGATACGGGAAGTGAATTCAGTGTAAAGATCATTGAGGATCAGTGAGAAATTGAGTTTTGATACATATCAGTTGATCAGGCACTTTGTGTCTGCGCAGTGATGAAAATAAGTGAAGAAGTCGTCCTGAGATTATCATTAACTAATACGAGTAGTACTCTCATGTTTGATCATTCGTACTCATTTTAACCATTCGACGTCCTTTCTCCATTAATTACGTGGATTCTTTTTTGGATGTGATTTGGCGTTTTTCCTAATAGTTGACCTGATAGTTTACAAGTATTTCAAGCACGAATGCTATTTGGAATTATTGAGAAAATTATGCTATTTACTCGTATATTTATTATATCATACTAAAAACAAAGAATAATATTACCAGAAACACATTATAGTATGTCCTCGCAACTATACATAGATGTCTACCAAACTAGAATGAGTGTGTATGGTACAGGGCTACTAACTCGAAGTAGACAAATAAACCAGATTCTCATTCAGAAAGCATATTATGAAACGGAAATGGACAAGTTTTTAGAATTTCTCTTCTAAGTTAGAAGTGAAACGTGGTGTTTCTAACCCCAACCAAAAATAAAATTATTTCAAACCAAGGAAACGTAGGAAACACACAAAACTGGATATAAATAACAAACCTAAAAGGAAAGGTTCATGTGAATAATGTTGAGTGTTGCAAAATATTATTTGTGCCTTGGATAAAAATGATCCCAGACAATTGTAAGGGTGATTCTAAGGGTTAATTATCCGGTACTTACTGTTCTGTCGAATACGGTTGAGTATTGGTGCTGTTGAAAAAAAAATTGTTTATGCACAAAAATTAAGATGGAATACGGAACATTATTTCGAGCAATTTAAGAAGTGGCCCCTACGAAATACAATGAATATTTTTTTTGCTTTCCTCACCCTCAAGAATCCCCTTTTCTTCTCACGGTTCTTTGATTCTCTTTGACTCGGACCGGAGTTTTCGGCCTGAAGAATCTTATCAAAAGGGGCGGAACTATTCTGATGTCAATGATGTCAATGAATAAGTTTGTCAATATTTTGTTATAGTGGCCAAATAGAATTGATCGTTCACAACTCCAATTTCCTGTAGAAACTCGTACAAAAATAACGCATTTCTTCCATAAACACAACAGGAAAAGCAATATCTTATCAAAAGGAAAAGAAAAAAACCTTTCAACCTATTTTTTAACAACATTCATTACAAAATCCATGTCTCACCGTAAACATAGCACAATAATTTTTAAATGCTTGAAAGAGACCAATTATGATTCACGTCAAAAATACATATTTCACATCAGTTTCCTATTAAGAGTGCAAGATAGCTAAAAAAAGCCAGTACTATGTATACTTTGTCAATAAAATGTAGTAAATTGCCGAATTATTTAGGGAAACTTAACCTGGTACTATTATTTTCTACAATTTTGTTAAAATATTTGACAGTTGCTATTGAGTGTTCGCCACTTTATACCCAAAAATATCCTCTAATCACAAGACGAATATCCCAATTATGAATGCTCGATAATTTTTTTACATTCTCGCCTTACTACGTAAATAATGTCGAAGTATTGTAATCTTACGACGATTTTTCGTCAAAAACATTTGTTGGACTCTGGCAATGAAAAAGTAGATAAATCTGGTTCCAATATTTAGTAAATTTCTTCCTCTAACTCGTTGTGATGGAATCTCCGTATGAAAAAAAATCCTTGGTTGGAAACACTTTTGCATGTCCATAAAGAAGTATAATATTGCATAACCGTTACAAATAAGGGATAGTGATGTAGCATTACCCCTTATTAGTGTTATTACTTACGCACACTTCGAGAGAAGTCGACCTATCGTGCACAGGAAAACAGTGAATTTTCGACTGAAAAACACATTGTCGGACCCCGGTAACGAACCTAGCGCTGCTACAAAATTCTAATGGAATTCCCGAATTAGTTAATTTTCTAATATTTTTAGTCTAGATTAGCTTTCCTGTATTGCCTCACCATCTTCCAAGATACTACCATCAGGCGCCAAAACGAAATTTTGTTACATTTTTATCAATTTTTCGATCCCCTAATAATACAATTGAAATATCGTTAAGAATCTTGTGGAAGAGTAAAATATTCCAATATGTAAAATTTTCATTGAAAAAATTGGAGCTGTTGAGAAAATGTTGTTTGATAGTTTCTGAAAATA